GAGTGGGGGGTGGGGGGGGGGGTGGGGGTGGAGTGAACACGTGGGGGTATAAGTAGGAGGAGACGGCAGGGTGACAATTTGACCAGACGTAACGACCTAACATGCCCTATTGAAACCAAACCACCAGAAAATGAACGCTGGTTAGGGGTAGCTGCAGAAAACGTGCAACAGGCCAACACAACCAATGCGGTCATGTTTTTACGGTTAGATCGGGGATTCTACGTGAAAAAACAACATTTATTGACCAACCGTGTTCCTAGCGGCTGAAATTGGCCGTTAAATGCTTATCAGGCAACACGATGAGAGGTTGATTAGCCAGAACAATACGATTTTCATATAGATAAGAAATTTTTTTTTTTTGATAAAGACGGGCTCACGCGGATCTATGTAAATGTATTTATTGTGGCAAATAAACAATTATTTTTTATAAACATACACACACACACACACACACATATATATATATATATATATATATATATATATATATATATATATATATATATATATATATATATATATATATATATATATATATATATATATGTATATATATATATATAATTATATATAATATATTATATATTATGTTTATAAATATGTTGCCTATATAATATATATTATATTATAAACATATATATATATATATATATATATATATATAATACATGTATTATACAAACATGGATATATATATATATATATATACACATAGGTTTATACATATTAATATATAATTTTAAAGTATAAAATACGTGTGTGGTTTGTATACAGCGCACGTATGTTTTATATCAATAGAGCATTGCTTTGATGTTGCTAGTATGTGTGTAGCAATGTAACTAGATCTCAGTAAGCGCCTCATATAGTTTGTGAACATACACCAAACTACGTGATAAGTGGGATTGATTTCTTGTCAGCTGGTTCTGCATTTATTCACTCTTTATGCTGTTCCATGTCTGGGATTGAGAAAAAAAAACAGTGGGAAAAAAAATAACTCCACTTTTTTTTCCTGTCGCCTATGTGTGCTTCCCCTTTCAATGAGGATATTTAGGAGGGGAAAAAATTGGTGGACACGTTTCCATTACGTTTTTAAGCTTTTAAACTCTTTAAGCAGTTATATATATATATATATATATATATATATATATATATATATATATATATATATATATATATATATATATATATATATATATTTATTTATTTATTTATATATATATATATATATATATATATATATATATATATATATATATATATATATATATATATATATATAAATAAATAAATAAATATATATATATATATATATATAGATATATATATATATATATATATATATATATATAAATAAATAAATAAATAAATATATATATATATATATATATATATATATATATATATATATATATATATATTTATATATATATATATATATATATATATATATTATATATATATCTATATATATATATATATAGGCCCTATATACACACATTTTTTAATTTCGGAATATTGTAGTCTAATACGGAGACAATTCAGTATTGGAAGTTAAAATTCCAATTGGTACATATGACTTCATGTTTCAATATCATGTAATCAGGGCTAACAATGGCTGGAGTATGTAACACCGTCGTGGTGAGATCATGTAATAGATCTTGATGGAAGCATCACCAACAGTCTTAACAACATCATCACAAACATCATCAAAAACATCCCCAACAGCATCCCCAACAACCTCACCGACATCATCACCAACATCATCACAAACATCATCAAAAACATCCCCAACAGCATCCCCAACAACCTCACCGACATCATCACCAACATCATCACAAAAAGAATCACCAATAGCATCACCAACGGCATCACAAAGAACCCTTAAACCCAAAATCATAACCTTAAAATCTATAACCCAAAACCGTACATAGCTTTTGATATTCCCCTCACCCTAATGTTTAAAAATATCGGATGTTTCCGTCTATTCCAATGCAGTGTACTGTTATGCTAATTGATACGAAGGGAGGAAAACCGCAGCTGAGTGGTGAAAGTTTTGAAAATATTCCCTCCCTTGTCAATTCTAATATCAACTTTTTTTCTGATGAAACCAGCAAGAAAGCTTGATATTTTTTGTCTTGATAACACACGTAAAAATAAGTTGATATTTGATGTAAAAAAAACATACCAGGAAGAACTCAGTGGGCGGGGACATGTCTTGAATGTCCAGCACGAGAACACTTCCATGTTATAAAAATGTGGGGTAATGATGGGTGTAGAGGCGATAACAGGAGGCTTTCAAGCGAGAGGGAGGGAAAGAGAGTGTAGAGGTGAATAGATGAGTGGGCGTGGGGAGGGGGGGGGGGGGGTGGGGAGGGGTAAAGAAGAATGAACATGAGTACAATTTTAATTGGACGGTTAATTGGATGGTTAATTAGAATGACGAATTTGAGACTATCCTGAAAAGGAGGAAGAAAGAAATTTTGAAGTTCAAGAAGGCTGAGGCTTTATTGAGAAGTTCATAACAAGATAAAATATAATAAGGAGTGTAATGTTGACATAAAATATGGGAACTAATAAGGAGTGTAATGTTGACATAAAATATTTGAACTAATAAGGAGTGTAATGTTGACATAAAATATGGGAACTAATAAGGAGTGTAATGTTGACATAAAATATGGGAACTAATAAGGAGTGTAATGTTGACATAAAATATGGGAACTAATAAGGAGTGTAATGTTGACATAAAATATGGGAACTAATAAGGAGTGTAATGTTGACATAAAATATGGGAACTAATAAGGAGTGTAATGTTGACATAAAATATGGGAACTAATAAGGAGTGTAATGTTGACATAAAATATGGGAACTAATAAGGAGTGTAATGTTGACATAAAATATTTGAACTAATAAGGAGTGTAATGTTGACATAAAATATGGGAACTAATAAGGAGTGTAATGTTGACATAAAATATGGGAACTAATAAGGAGTGTGATGTTGACATAAAATATGGGAACTAATAAGGAGTGTAATGTTGACATAAAATATGGGAACTAATAAGGAGTGTAATGTTGACATAAAATATGGGAACTAATAAGGAGTGTAATGTTGACATAAAATATGGGAACTAATAAGGAGTGTAATGTTGACATAAAATATGGGAACTAATAAGGAGTGTAATGTTGACATAAAATATTGGAACTAATACAGTGTGTAATATTGACGTTGACAACTGCGTCTCTGTAATTGAGAATGTTAACTTTCTCTCTCTTTATGTACGACACACAACTAGTTTCCATACACTTATAACATGCTTTATAAGACAAGCTAGATTTAGATGCAGTAATAAAGTGAAGTCTACCGAAGTTGGTACCAAACTTAGCATACCTTTAGACTATACCGACAGTATCATAAAATTAAAAAAAAATAATTCCTAAGGATATTCTTACTATAACATTGTTCTTAGAATGTTATGAAACTCATGATTAATTTTTAGAATGTTCTGGTATTTAAAGTACCTTCTAAAAAGTTCTGACTCTCCTGGAATGTTCTCACCATTAAAATATCCTCAAAAAGATCTATCAACAATGTTCCTATATTGTACAAGCAATAAAAACTGTTCAAAAATTTAAAGAAAGTTCTGAAAAAAAAGTTCTAACAGTTAAACATTACTTAGCCAATTCCAACAAATGTGATGCGGATCTTGGCCGACGTAAAAATCGATGCGATCAAATTGTATTGGACACGTCTATCGCCTAATGCTGTTTGATGCTTTTATTCCCTCGTCAAAATAGCCTCTATCAAAGGAGCTTTCTCAAACACATAAGTTAACCTTCATATAGGCATACACCACTAAAGGAGAGGGAATTTTAACCCTAACCTATATCCTTTTCAGCTTTTAAGTATACGCAATAATATAGCATATGCCTCCATTCTTATTTCTTGTATTTATTGACTTTTAAACTGTGCAGTGTTGGAAAAGCAATTACAGCTCCCTTTTAATAAAATATATTATGTAATGAAAACATCTTGTACCAACTGCCGGGCAATATAACAAAGTTATATTTTTTTTAGAGACCAACGCGACATATTATTAAACAAACCTAGATCCCCCCACCCCATCCTAGCACACAAAGCTATGAACTATAATTAGTTTGTTGTGAACATTTTTTAATAGCAGTTGCTAGTGTTATTAGCATAGCTATGCACGAAATATTTTTAAAAAATCTACTCACACTCACAGTTTCTGCAAGTGTTTTGGAAAATGGCTATTAAACAGGAAACAAATAGACAACACTTAAAATATACACGAATAAATAATAACCTGTTATATAACACGGATCATGACCCTTCCTCATCCCTACCTGAAAAAACCTTAGTATAACAAAATGGTAAATCACTACCCCACGTATATTAAAAAAATATATACACGACCCCATAAGATGGTGGATCTCTTACCCCAACAACGAAATGTGTATGTATGCATGTATGTGTGCGGGCACATTCGGGGGACGGGAGAGGGGGTCAGCTAGGGCCTAATATAAACTAAAAACAAATTACAGGCTTATATTTTTTTCAGTTTTCTCTTTTACATGCGTAGAGGGTTTAAGTTCATATTTTGTTCATGTTGCATTTGGCAGGGAGTTTAGACCCCCCCCCCCCCGTCACCAAATAACCAAACTTAGCCATACCAACGATAACGTTTGTTAAAAATGTATAAAAACAACATTACAAGATCAGTATTTCTTCCAGACTTTTTTCTCTAGGTGGGGGAGACGACTTGATATTTTTTTTGGGGTATGGGGGGGGGGGGGGGGGGTGGGGACGGGACTATTTTTCCGGGGGGGGGGGGGGGCTGGTAAAAAAATATATTTTCTATATAAATTTCCATTTCGTTCGGGGAGAGGGTGGGTTGCGGTAGGCTTTCTTCTCTCCCCCCCCCCCTCCGAAGAGATACCTGGAAGAAACCACTGTACAAGATTACGGACAATGTGTGTCTTACCTTCAAAGAGAAAACACTCGTTCCAATGCGGGTTCAAATTTTTTTTCTTGACCTTGGTCAAAAGTTTGTGTTTTTTATCGGGGAGGAGCATGATTTTCACGTACGGGTCGCTGGTCCCCGTCACGTCTTTGGCCGGGAGGTCCTTGGCCTTCACTATCCTCAGGGTCAAGGTCAATGATTGAAAATCGTAAATGAGGCCCAGCTGGAGGCTGCCCAGCTTGTAATCCACCCCCTCGACGTAGGGCCCCTGTGCCCCCCGCTCCACCACCTCCGCCTCGTCCATGAGCATGCTCGCGATGGATTTGACATTCTTCCAGACGCTGGACTCCCCCTCGCCCCTGTCCTCCTCCGAGGCTGACCGGCTCTGGCTGTTAAGGCTTGCTCCCTGGAACAGAGGAAGTTTTGAGGTTAGCGTTTGGGATTTTTTTATTTATATCATTGGGTTTGTTTTAATACAGTCATCGTTTTATTGGTAAAGTCATTGTTTTTTGTTAAAGGTTATGTTTTTATTGTGGTAAACTCATAGTTAGTTTTGGCTTAGTATCACCGTTTTGGTATGTGGTAAAGTCATTTTTGTTTTTGTTAATGTGTTTTGTTATGTGCTAAAAGTCAGTTTTGTTTGGTTCATGTCAGTGTTTTGGCATATGGTAAAGTCATAGTTTTTTTTGTTTAATATCAGTGTATTTTATAATGTCATGTTTTTTTTTTTAAATGTCTTTGATTAACATCAATGTCTTTTTTAACATTTTTTTGTCGTTATTTTTTATTAATGTCATTTTTAAAATTTAAATGTTAATGCTTTTTTTGGGTCAATAGTTAGGTTTTTTCTTTCGTTTTTTGTTTTTTTTTTATTTTTGTTTTCATTGTATTTTATTTTTGCAACAAGATCATAGCTGATTCATGTTTTTACAAAATACTGTACCAATTTGTTGTGGAGAAAATTAATTAGAAAAGTGAACTCCCATAGCTGAAAGTATATGTGTGTTTTTGCCTCCATGTGTGTGTGTGTGTGTGTGTGTGTGCCTGTAAAGTGTGTGCACGTGTAGTATGTGTGTGCTTGTGTTTGGAAAGCGAGTAGGAAATGATATCAGAGATAGAAAAATCCTCTTTGTTGTCGCACCGTAAAGACCATAATACGACTACATTTAAATCTATTTCAATAAGTTAAACGTCTGAAATTGAGTTGTGTTTAAGTGAAGTTAAAAACACACTAACACTTTCATGTTCTTTTTTACTTTACATTGATCAACAAAAAGTTACAGTAGGTAAAAAAAACAACAACACAGAAAACAACACATTATGTACAAAAAACATAAACAACAAAACACAAAAACAAAGAAACAAACGAAAAAAACAACAACACAACAACAACAGCAACAAAAAAAACGATATTAAAAACCCAACCCAATTTTGGCTTTGTCCAGTCCAATCTGGCCAAACTATTTACATAAAACGTGGCCACCGGCTGACCAAGCCCACCAATCCCTCTCTAAGCCACAGCAGATCAACGTTCGGACAGCTCAGGGATCAGAAATATTGATCAGCATCGACTGGACACTGGTAATTCAATCAAGTCTGATTTAAGGCAGGCCCTGGACAATGGCTGCTCATACGTCCCATTTATATTGGAAAAAATTAGTTGTCAGACATTGTCTTAGGGTAATCCAACCGTTATATTTTTAAATAAAATCACATTTTCATCGGCTAAAACAAATCAACTTTGTTACAAAAATATACATACTTGAATATTCACTATATATATATATATATATATATATATATATATATATATATATATATATATATATATATATATATATATATATATATATACACGTACGTACATGAATGTTTATATACATGTGTGTGTGTCCATATATACATACAAATGTACACAAATATATATGTATGTGTATGTGCATGTATGTTTTCTTACATAATTATTGCGCTTTCAATGTGTTGATTGTAGTGTGAGAGATCTGAATAGACTGGACCCTATAGGGCTGGTAAGTAGGTCACCAACCAGTTCTATGGCTCATGCAGGTTTTATTGAGCCGTAGAACTGGTTGGTGACTTAGTTACCAGCCCTATATCTGGTTCAAGTGTTACTACAAAATGGCTACGAAGTGTTAAAATAGATTGGTCTCTGTTGTAGGTCGAAGTTTTACAATGGACTGACCACTATACTAACTGTTTAAACAAAAGAGCAGTCTGAGAAAATGTTGCCTCTTCTAAACCCAGGAGCTGTTAGCATGGACGAAGCTACTTTATTACATTAGAACTGTGTTATCCCATGGGATACCAAACACATAGGAAATCAACGAAATACTTCAGAGAGCTAGACAGTGCTGAACACACTATCCCTTTATATGCAAAGGTCACTGAAACAGGTGAACTCTACTTCACTTACTCCATGGACGATCAGGTTCGAAAAGGGACTTTTTAGTCAGGGTTAGGGTTTAAAAAATGTCAGGGTTTAAAAATGCATAAAGCAACCACACAATCATAACAAGACGGACCACGTTGACTAGACAAGAATGTTGACTCGAAACGTCAATGTTTTAAATTAAATGTACTGAGGTTTGTAAAACTCAAAAAGGCATTTAAAATTTTTTTTTTACTAAAGCGAGTTTAAAAAAAAACAACCTCTTTTACTTCTAAACATAACACTTAAATCCGCCACGTAAAACTATGACACTAATGACAGCTGATTTTTATATAAAAAACAATTAAATTTAAAATCAACAGAAGTTCGACACTGAAAAAAAAAAAAAAACCTAAAATTTCAATTTACCAAAATATTATGTCAACTGATTAAAAAAAAAAAGAATTTCTCTCTGATTCGCATTCAATCTGGTTTTAAAATTGTAATAGTTTCGATTGGTTGCGTCGGTCACGTGTCAAGATGGCCGCTTGGAGAGGCTGAAGTTCAGAAAGCAAGAGGCTTGCCCCGGAGGATCATACAAAATTGATGGGATAAAGAATACTTTGAAGGAGGAGAGTTCCTTTGTAGTGAGTGAGATTGAGGCACTCTGTTCAAGCCGTGGACCGGTTAGGTCAGGCTGGGCTAAAACTATTAGCTGGGGGTATTGGTCTAATGCTATAATGGGAGGGAAGTGTGGGGGGGTGGGTGGGGAGGGTGTGTGTGTGTGGGGGGGGGGCGGGGGTGATATTCGTGACCTCAATTACAACGGGAATTCACGCGTACAGATTTAGTCAACACGACTTTTATCACACATGGCTGGAGTCATCGGAGTCATAGTTGAGTCATCGGTGAGTCAGACTAGATTTATACATGTGATATGTAAAAAATGGCACAAGAGTTTTTAAAATAAAGATCTAGCAGTACACAGGGCAGATGAAGTTGAGTTGATACTTTTCTATGACATGGGTATATGTAGGTTTATTATGTGGCCAAAGTTATGCACATACGCTTTTCTTATTGCGAAACCAAATTAAGCCCGGTACCTATTAAAGCTGGGTGGACTCACCATACGGGTAACGAATTCTCAACTTTTAGTTAGCTAATCGCGAGCTAAACCAAATCGTTCGTTTTAGTTGGTTGAAATTTCTAGGAATAATTTAATAAACAAATCATGGAATAATATAGTACAGTATAAATAAACGGAATAACAGTATTAGTGGTTATTCTAACATAAACACAATAATAATAATAATATACAGACACATTATTTCCTTCATAGCAAGGCGAATCCCAAGAGAATTTGGCTGTAATTACTGCCCTTTTTCGTAACCCAAGCAGAATTATCGAACTTGGTTGGACATTCCAGATACAAATAAACACTTTCGATATCGAAAATTAGTTTAATTCAAACACAATCTCATTTAAAAAAAAATCATTATTTGTATTTTTTAACAAAAATACCGTCGACTTATTCTCTATACTATTATTGATTGATTTTGTTGAGAATTAGGTTATCGATTGGTTATTATGTACTTTAGCTATGGGTAGCGTTTGAATACTAGAACGACCAAGAGGGTATGTTTGTTGTTGTTTTACTGTGATGGATGAGTGCCGAGAATTGGCCAGATAATTGATCAAGAAAACAGACCAACTCGCCACAAACAGAATTATTTCTTTCCTGTCTTAAAGACGAATTTGACATAAGAGATTTTGCCGGATTGATGGAGTATTTGCCGGTTTGTCGTAACGTTTGCCAGTGTTATACAGCATTTGCTGGTTGATGGTATATTTTATGAAATTAATGAAATATTTAGTTTTGTGGAATCCTTGCCGGCTTGGGTGAAATTTTGGCTGATATATTTAGTTGGTTTAACTGAATGCATGCAGGTTTAATATTTAATTATATTTCTACACGTCAACGAAGACGGCTACTAAACTCTAGACATGTTTTTACATTTTTTTCTAAAAATACAACGGTATACAAAATAGTGAGGCGTTTACTCAGTTCAATACTATCCTAGCCATTCTCTAACCTTAAACGACTCATGTTTAGCCTCTGCTAGAATTTGAAGTTATATTTCTAGTCCTAGCCCTATCTTTTAACTCTATCTCTAATCCCAACCCTATCCTTATTTCTAGCTTAAGCCCTACCCAAGCACTAGCCCTGGCCCTTATCCTTGCTCTAACATTAACTGTAGCCCTGGGCCTACCTCTAACCACGATCTTAACCCTAAAGCCAGTTCTAACATTAGCCCTAACTCTAATCTTAACCCTACCCCTACCACCATCTCTGTCTCTAGGTCCAATCTCGCAGCAAATGAAAAACACAAATAAAACGCGTGCAAAGCCTGCAGTATGAGGAGATTACATACACTAATCCGAGATTAAGATTAGTGACCACCGAAAGTGAGAACAAAACGCCCCATCCAGTGGATTTAATCTGCAACAAAACTTTGTCGTCTTAAGCCCGGATATAAACAGCACACGAACTCGCGTGAAAAAACGTGAACACATAAAAACCAAACTCACATCGTGAGTCGTTCGCTCCGTTGTATGGCTGCTCATGCACGTGTAATTTGAGTTCACTCGCACGTGATAAATCTAATAACACGTTTGGAACAAGAATAAGATAAAAAAAAAATCCATCCTTAATCGATATTTTTCGAAATGATATGACTCCCTCCTTATATCGAATATTCCCTACACATTACAATCCCTATCTACAAATCTCCTTTTCACCCCTACACCTCCTTTATACTTTACTGTTTAAAAAATGCGTAATCTCATATCCCCCCCCTCCTTCCACATTTTCTATATTACACGGTGTATTTATTGAATCAATAGAATAAAATATCAGATCGTATTCTACATAATCAAGCAATCCGTGATCGAGATTCTCATTACACGCTTACAAGAGCTGTAGATCTGTCAATTTATTTTTCTATACATCAGCTGTTCGT